AGGCTGTCGGTGCACTCCTGCCACCCCATCCCTGCTCGTGGTGTCAGAGCTGATCTACCAGGCCCAGCTTTTGGGGACAAATTCACCCCTTGCAGCACAGGTCGGACCCTCCACTGGGGCTCTGCTGGTCTCTGCCATTTCCCAGCCAGGGATGAAGAGGAGAGAGGACAGGATCCAAAGAGATCCTGCCTGACTGACCCTCAAGTTTGACCTGTGTATCTGCCAGGGACAGCCACACTGCGGCACATTCCAGACCCTAATGGGGGCCGATCCCCTGGATTTGCAAAGGTCTCTCCAAATCTCTGCCCTAGGCCAAAACAACCAGGGGCTTCCCCAGGGGCACACACTGTAATGCCACCTGCGTGACCCCAGAAATGGGCATCACAACCTCCTGCGTGGACAGCCCAGCCACTGGCTAAGGAGCACAGCAGGGATTGTGCGTCCCGTGACACATCAGCTCAGCCTCCTTGTCTTCTTGAGGGGCAACACCCTTTGCTCCCAGCACCCTGCTGCTGATCCAGGCTGGGGGGAAGAGCAGCTGGAGCCTCCGCCCTGCATTTGGGGTCCCAGCTTGGCCCAGGAGGCAATGCTGGGAGAGGAGTGGATGTGGCATGCTAACAGCAAGGCTTGGATGCCTGGGAGAGGGGGAAATCACAGCGGAGAATGTCATGAGCTCCTGGGTGGCTCTAGCTTAAGAGATCCTGGATGGGAAAGGATTAATCAGTCTCCTCTCCCCATCCTGCTTCAGAGACACCAGCAAGCTAGCCCTTTGTGGTGTGCCCAGGTACCCAGCCACCACGGCAAGGGGGAGCCAAGGCCGGATCAGGACCCGCAAGGACTCCCCCATCCAGGCTGAGCAGCCCTTACCCTGGCCAGCTCCTGGTTCTTCTCCTCCAGCTGACTCTCCAGCTGCCGGAGATGCTCCTCGATGCTCCCATGCCTCTCTTCTGCCTGGGAAAAGCAGAGCAGTGCTCTCGGATGCCACTCCCCAAAAACATGCGGGCCCTTCTGCATCCCTCCCTCCATCCCTGCATCCGCATTCTTCCCTGGGATACGGCGCTCCCTCCCACTGCCTGCATCCCCACCATGGTTCACTGTGTGCTATGAGCCCAAATCAGCCCTGCTAGCCAGGTGATGGGAGATGGAGGTGCTCCATGAGCAACTTGGCACCCATTCCAGCACCTGTGAAGGGCAGGGCTGGCCGTATCCACCCTCCAGGCCTGCACCCTCCCAGATCCAGCCTGCATCTTTCCTCTTCCTCCTCATCCCAGAGTGGTCCCAGCACAAGCTGAAGGCCACTCAGATTGACAGGGCCATCTCTGCCTTGGAGAAAGGAGCTGAGGGAAGGGAGCAAACCCCGTGCGTGCAGGACACGTCAGGAGCTTTAAAAACCATGCATTGTCCCTGCAGCCATGGGGGAGGCAGAGGACAGCAAAGCTCAGAGGCTGGGAATGAGAGCAGGGTGCCTTGGGCCTGCCAGGGGCTCCAGCGCTGCAGGAGGGTGGCCAGACCTACCTCTTCCTCTGGTTCCTGCACTCCGTTCTGGCTCTGGTCCCCGATCACCCCGCACACTTGCCTTGGTGAGTGCGGCGATGCGCTGGGCCAGCTCTGCTTCCACCTCGGGCAGCGTCTCCGCCTTCCGCATCGTCTGCTGCAGCTTCTGCTCTGCCAGCTCCAGCAGCTCCTGCAGGTGCCGGGCTTTCTCCTCGCACTGCGGGACAGAGCAGGATGGGTGACTAGCACTGAGGCTTGCCTGCTTGTCCCATCCCCAGCACCTGCTTCTCCCTCCCAAGTCCCCAGGGTAGTGGGAGCCTTTGGGTCCAAGCTTTGGTACCTGGCGGTGCAGGGACTCCTTGTTGGCCAACTCGCTTTCTAGCTTGTCGTTGAGGTCATGGATGGAGGTGGCTTCTCGCTGGGCTGCCAGGTAGCGTTTCTCCAGCGTGGTGATCCTCTCCTCCATGTCCTCTTTCTGAGCCAGGGCCTGGGGAAGTGATAGGGCTGTCACATCCTAATCTGTGACCACCAATCTGGGAACAGGAGCCACCCAGCTCCTGCGAGCCTGGGACACCCCCGAGTCCAAACATGCAATGAAAACCCTGTTCTGCACAGGAATGAGGGACAGCAGTGGGAGAGCAATAAAGGGAGAGTCAGGCAATCACACAGAAACATTCTAGCACGGACACAACTCACTGCCCCAGGTCTGCAGCACACCTGGGTATCTTGGTGTCTGCTTATAACCTCAGAGAAGTCCTGCTGATGGACTTGGGGACAATCTCCCAAAGGCAGTGGCCTCTTTTGGGGAACGCTGGCCTTTACCCTGCATACAACAGGGATTACAATCCCTTCCCAGCCCAGAGCATGTGGAAGCTGCTGTGAACGTCTCTGCAACTGCAACAGGCTTGGCAGATAGGGCAGTATCTAACCTCTCGGAGGTCCCTCTGGTACTTGCTGCTCATCTCCTCCGATTTGATCAGATCCTTCCTGGCGGTGCCCAGATCCTCCTCCAGCTCGGCAACGCTGGCAGCCAATGCCGAGATGCGCTCCTTGGCCTGGACCACTTCGAAATTCTGCTTCTCCAGGAGCTCCTGCAGCTCCACCACCTGTCCTGCCTCATCGTCCGGGTGGACAGAGCCATTGGAGAGCCGCTGCAAGGCAGCAGAGAGGGAGGTGGATGCCGGGCTGCCCCAAAGCACGGGCTGGCATTGCCTGCAGCTACACAATGGGGGAACATGGCCCTGCAGGGACCCAGCGAGGTGGTGGGAAGTGGAGACATGGAGCCCTGGAACCCCCTGTCAACAGTCTCAGCTAGCCAGGGATGTGGCTTCTCACAGGCATGATGGAATAAGGATGGCTAAGGGCTTCCCAGAGCACCTCTGGGAAGCAGAGCCCCTAGGAGCATCCGAGCGGGAGCACAAATTGCTCTCCACTCAGAAATGGCCTGTATCCACTGGAAAGGGCATTTCCCAGGGGGTTGGACCCAGGGGAGAGGGAAAAAAGTTTTCAGCACCCTGGAGCCAGTGACAAGGGGGTTGGAGAAACGACAGCCTCAGTGAGCATGGTCAGAGCAGGGGTTTCTGGGGCTCTCACCTTCCAGGGAAGCTTCTGCGCCGGCTCCTTGGGCTCCCTCTCATCCCGCTCACCCACTGGGGCCTCCCGCGTGGTGCCTTGCTGCAGAGCTGCCACCTGCATGACAACAGGGCTTAATTAATGAGAGAAAGCAGATGAGACCAACTGGTCCGGCCGTGGGTGAGGCCAGCCCCTAGCGCACCCAGGTCTGCAACTGGCTTCCCACTGGCTTGCTCCACCATCACATTCAGCTAGTGCCTATGGCTGGGGGGAAACTGGAGGGATAGGGTCAAGAAGAGAGGGGAAGGCAGAGATGCTGTGAAGGCTCAGCACTGATGGAGGATGAAGCCACATCTTGCATGGACACAGCGGTGCTTGCTACAGGCACGCAAAGAGCCTGAGCCCCAGCAGTAAGGTTTTCCTGGTGAGCCCTCAGGGACCTGAGACCTGCATCCCAGGACTGCCCCCCAACTCATTTCACTAGTTTGCAGCCAGACAGACTCCAAACCTGGTGCAGATGTAGCCAGCAGGAGCAGGGGATAAACACTGACATCGCACCCTGCTCTGCTGGGGGAGGATGGGGAAAGGTGACCGAAAGCGAGGCACTACCTCCCCACCGAGCCTGGGGAAGTACCGTGAGACACACCCTGGGAACTAGAAATAAAAGCAAAATTTGGCCAGGCAGAGGCTATAAGGATGGCTCTTTCCTTTTGGCAGCAGTGGCTGGGCACAAACTTCAGGAAGGAAAATAGGGTTAATATCTCTGCAAGATGAAAACGGCTAGATGTTGGGGACAGCAAAGTCCCCATGCCAGGGCCCGAGCAAGGAAGGAGATGGGGGATGCAAGATGAGGTGCTCGGAGCAGCGAGGTTTGGGTCTCTGCTGAGGCAGGGAAAATCCCAAGTCACTCTCAGCCCCCTGAAATGATTCAAGTTCAGGTTGCTTTTGCCAGTGAAATGAACACCAAACAGCAAAACAACAGAGGAAACCTTGCCTGTGAGAGAAGTTTTCAGAATATTTACAAGGTTTCATTAAATACAGACAATCCTTCATGTAAATAGCAATTTTAGAATAAAAGCCTTATATTAAAATTGCCCAAACGCCGTTTCTCTGATCTGCATGATCATTTGAGGGTGATATTTCAGCAAATTCACCATGAATTCACAAATGTAACACGGAGCAGACCCAGCCCAGCGGGTGCTGCAGCAAGGGCCCAGGGTAGGCTGCCCAAATACCTCTTACCTGCCGATGGGCATCCACAAGCTGCTCCTCCAAGGTTGCCACTCGCTCTAAGGCTGCTCGCAAGCGTTCCCTGACCTGCAGTCATGTAAGATAACGGAAAAGGCCATTATTTATCCGTGATGAGGGTGCCCAGGATCTAGGCAAGCTCCCAGCCCCTTTTGTCTGACAGCCAGGCTCAGGTGTATTCACGTCCAGGGCAGAGGCTGAGGGACGCTCCAGCCCATCGCCTGGGAGAGCGAAAGCATGTTGGAGAGGAACAGCCTGGGCCAGCTGACTCTTGCAGACCTACAGCCAGGACAGCTTGAAGATATCTTTTAGCAGAGCAAGGAGATGCTTGAGGCAAATGAATCAGGAGGAACAATAAGAGTTGTAATGCAAAGACTGAACCAGGGTGCCAAATGCCAGCGCTCACCACCAGTACAAGTGACCCAGGGAAGCAGGTTCCCCGTCCCCAACAGCCTCAAACCCACAGCATCCAGTCAGCAGCCCCACCAGCTCCTAAAACGAGGGTGCTGCAGCTTTTGGATATCCAAGACCTTCCTCCTGAGGGGACCCCATGTCACCACCCAGCTTAACAACAAAAAATGGCATCCAGTAGGAGGGAGGAGGAGGGTTGGGAGAAGGTCAACTCTGAGCAGGGGATGCTCATGGAGTGAGCTGGGAGAGGTCCCAGCAGCCTGTCTCACCTTTTCATCTAGCGCCTTGTGATGCTCAAAGAGTGACTTGAGCGCCTTGAGCACCTCGACCTCACTGGAAACCCCAGACGGCGACTGGGCCTGACGCTTGACCACGGTCATCCTCAGGGACCGCTCATGCCTTGACACCAGGCACTCCAGGTGCTCCAGCAAGAGCTGCAAGAGGGCAAGCATGAGGCTTTCAACCACCCCGGGGACTGGCAATGCCAATATCGGCTGAGCAGCCTGCGGTGTCCCGCATTTCTGAGGATTGAAAGCCAGACAGCAGGTTTTATATGCTTACCCGGGTATTATTGCGCTCGGCTTTCAGCTCTGAGATCTCCTCTTCCCTCTCCAGGAGCTGCTCCCGGCACGCACTGAGCTCCCGCGTCAGCGTTGCAAACTCCTGCAGAAATCAGGGCATGGCCGTGAGCAGGGAGCATGGGATAGAGACGGAGCCCGCAACCCGGCCCCAGTGCCTAGACCTCCAGTGCAGAGCATTTCCCATCTGAACCCAACCGGTGAGAGACGGGGACACCAAGGGGAACATTGAGAAATCAGTGGAGAAGCACAGCCAGGCTGGGAGGTGATCTATTCCTGGCTTCCCTAAGTGCTTTGGAGAAGGGAGAACGGAACATCCCAGTATTTATCCATTTGGTTTGACGTCCAACAACACAAGAAACTACTCTACAGCTCCAGAGGTGCTCAATGGCATTTAAAGCATCCCAGTCAAGGCCACCAGCGTGCTCCCATCCCCACTGTCCCCTTGATGCAACCCAGCAGAGCACCCACCTTGGAGCATCCCATCAGGCTAAAACTCACTGCAAAGCCACAGCCGGCCACGATGGGTCCCCTGGCCCCAAGCCAGCCTCTCCATGGCCTCAGGACCTGGCATCATCCAAAATCTCCTTTCAGAGGAAAGAGCAAGATCTACCCCAGTCCAGCATGTGGGGCCCCATCAAGCTTCTTATGGGGCATCCCCAAGCCCCAAATCCCAGCTGAGAGAGATGGGGCACGGCAGGAGATGTGGCAGGTGCCACCAGTCCTTGCTCCAGTCACCCTTCCCCTCCAGGGAGGTGACAGCCAGCAAGGAAGAGCCGTGCACAGAGCGACGCCAAAGCAGAGCTGCAAAGCTAGCACATCCTTTGGGATATGATGGCCTCCTCAGAAACAGAGCAATCGCACTTGTGACTGCGTCGGAGGGGAAAGGAAACTTGCTATAAAGTTCCTAGGATGCAGGAGAGTTCATTTTCCCTTAAAAAATGAAAACCAAGCACCTGGGTTAGCCCAGGAGCACTCTCCCATTGCTCCCAGTTGCTCTTTCAGTTGCCAAGCAGTGCCAGGATTAAGCGACATTTTGCAGCTCGGATTTTTTGGGGTGAAAAATGCAAATGCGGAAACACTTTACACCAGTTTCACAGTGTTGTTGAGAAGAACTTAAAAAGGAAAAGGGTTTCAGAAGAAGCTGAGAAGCATTAACAAACCAAATTTTGACTGGGGGCTGAGAGCGGTTTTACAGCATGAAATTCTCTTTAATTTTCAAGTTAAACAAATAAAACCCTTCAAACTGAAGCAAAACGTTGAGGCTTAGGTTGAATCAAATGCTCTGCTCAGCTCAAAGTGAAACCTCTTGCAACAGCTGACACCCCTCCAAGAAACCAAGAGCTTTTTAATCTGTTTGTCCCAGCTAGGTTTTCCCTCTCCCTTCCCACTCCAAGCTGCTCGCACTGGTGTGGTTTTTAGCCTGGAATTGGTGGGGATGGTGATGTCACTGGTGATGCTGAGACCCCACAGCAGGACAGGACCCGAGCGTGCCATAATGTGGAGGAAGAGAAAGAGCAATCGCAGTGTCGAAGTCAGTCATCATCTCTACAAATAGCTGCTTTTCTGCCCATCACCATGCCTCAGGGCTGCTGCCACGCGACATCCTCGCCCCAGCATTGCCCCAGGACCTGAGTCCCCCGGCTCCTTTCCAGCCCCGCTCCTGCCCCATCGCTTCCCCAGGGACCGCTCCAGCCCTGGGGTCATCCCTGTCCCCATCAGTTGTCCCCCAAATCGGTCACAGCACCCCAAACCTCCGTCACCAGCCCCTGCCATGCCCAGGCACCATCCCCCATGGCTCTCAGGCCATCCTACAGCCCTCCAAAGCGCAGCGAACCCCCTGCAGGGCTGGTTCCCCTGGGAGATCGCTGTGCCCAGTCAAGCCTTTCCCGGAGCCATGCTCTCCCAGCCGGTGGGGATTATGGCTCGGCACAGCTCAGCGGCACACGCATGTGCGTGCGAACCGCTGGGTTATGCAAGCGCTGCGCGCAGGAGCGAGCAGCTCGTGAGCATCCCCACAGATGACATCGGGGCTGGGAACACCTCACGCTGGAAAGCGTGAGAGCGGCAGCGAGAAGTGCCAGATTAGGTGCCTGTGCACCGCTGGCTGCTTCAGATTTAGGGATATGTCACTCCCCCTGTCCCTCAATATGTCAGGATACAGGCAGCGAGGCTTAAGGAGCTCAGCAAAAGCATCCTCGCAGCTGTGACGGCCCCAGGAACATCTTTCAGCAGCCCAAGCTATAACGGCGGGTGACACATTGGCTGTGGACTCTCTTCCAGCACTGGGGCAGGGACCCTGTGGATCCAAAGCCCCCAGATCTGCAAAGGGTGGAAAACTGCCCCATGGCTGGCAGGGGAAGCCAGGGCTGGGGACGCGGATGCTCTCCCCGCTGGGGTCAAGAGGGCCACGTGCAGCATGGGACAGACGGAACAAGGTGTCGGAGGCAGCAAGGGAAGAGGGATGCCACACTGGGGACGGTGATCGCCAGCACTGAGCCCTCCTCACCCCGCATTGCCTGCACAGCCCGCCCGGGCTGGCCAAGCTGTACAGATTGCGCCCGCAATCAGGCTTTCATCCCGAAAGGCAAGGAGATTAAAAGAGAGAGAAAATCCGCTAGAGAGAGACAGGCAGCCCCCACCCCAGCCAGCCCGACGCAATCCACGGGTCAGCGGGTCAAAGCGTGGTGGTAGCTCCACTCCTGGGCACAGCACAAAGCTCCTGCCTGACCCCATCCCATCGGGGTGCTCCTCTCCGAGCTCTCCACCCCGCCAGGAATGACTGGCCGGATCCTGTGCTGTGCGCCCCAGAAAGGCTGCCAGGCCAGGAGCATCCCATGGCAAACAAGAGAGACCACGATAACTGTGCTTCCTTGGGGAAAGACTGCAAAAGGAGCATTTACCACCAAAAATAGCAACACCCCTGCAGCAAGACAGGACAGCAGTAGGGGTTAGCCAAGTACGCACTTGCAAGCCTGATTTTGATGCTTTGGGAATAAAAGTATAGGAATAAATCAATCCAGCACCCACCTGTAGCTACCTCCATCAGCCCCAGCTGTGCCAGACGTCTGCCCTAGCACTGCCACCTTGCTTCTGGGCCACTGGTGGGCACCAGGCGAGTTTGGACACCATGAGGACGAGCTGTCCCCAGCTCCTGGCTGCAGCGTCACACTGTGGAGCGCAGCTTTCACCTCCATCTGCAGGTATGCCATTGCCCTAAGTCCCAGCGAAGTGGCGATAAAGAGGATCCGGGTGATATTCCTCTGCCCTGGCCACAGCCAGGAGATTCAGAGGCGCCTGCCCCTGGCTCCGATAAGCTCTCAAACTAAGCAGGGACACCTATAAACGGATTAGAATGTGAAGGAGAGGTGCCTGATCTTCAATCAAAGGATGGATGATGAGACACAGCCCTGGGAGTCCTTGGGAGCCCTGTGGGAAGCCCAGCAGCCCGGGAAGTGGCTAATTTGGATTAAAACCAAACCACCCAAAGTGCAACTGGCTGGACTCAGCCCCAAGCCCCGGGGCAGGAGGGAGCAGGGTGGACAGATGCTATTTTCACTATCAGAGCAGGGAGGGAGGCCCAGAGCACCACACAAGGTATTGAAACGGGGTGTTGTGGCTTGGGGCTCGGATCTTTGGTCAGTGCCAGGCATGTTCGGGATTCGGGGTCTTCCCCCTTGGCTGCATCAATGGGGAAAGCACAGGGAAGAGCTGGAGTGAGACCAGAAACCAGCTACACGGAGATGACTGGAAAAGCAAGGGGAGGTTTAGGAAACTCAGGGGGAGAAGGTGCATAGCATGAAAAAGCTGAAATGCAAAAGTCCTCAGCGCAGAGCCATCTTCTGCCTTTCCCCCTGCCATCCGCAGCACAGACAGG